GTACACTTGTTTCGTCTATCTCCTTTCCGAAAACCGACTTCTGCGCATGGGCCATGAAGTTTCAATCACACTGTACGTGCGCGCCTGCACATGGTATTTTGTGGAAGAGCCACACTCAAGGGGCCAAAGAGCCGCATGTGGCTCGCGAGCCGCAGTTTGCCGACCACTGGTTTAGTGTATTCACACACATGCCCAAACTTACTTTAATATAGTTATTAATGATTATATTTCATTTTAAGAAATGGACAGTTGTCATTCTTTCATGGAGTCTGGCATGGCTAGTTTTTGAAACCCGTTATTCTAGCCTTGGCCTGAAATCTGTTTCCCCTCCAATGTCTCATTTGCCTCTTTAGCTAAGTGAGTGCTGTAAGACTCTCAACAATATTATCCTTCATAGGATCAAAAATGGGGTCTTGAGGGGAAGGAAGGAGGAAGAGGGAACAAATCTTAGTACAGTGGTTTGTTGCCTTCCAAATCCCAACTCCACCCAACAAACTCTTATTTCTTAGTGTTTTATTTCTCCTATAGAGAACTTAAATTGCCTTTTTTCTTTACAGGCCACTATTTTTAAGAAACAAAAGGAACAAGGTTATGAAACAGGGAAGTTATGTGACATCAAAAGTACATGGTGTGTGAAGCTCCTTGGACCCAGGTAGTTTGGCTCCAGAACCCTCACTTTGTTCCCTCAGGCACAATGGTCAAACGACTTACTTTTGGTAAGTATGGCAGCCAAAATGGTGAGCAATATCATGGCAGCAATGCAGAGTCCAATGTACAATTTACTGGTGTTCCTCTGTGTATTTTGTTTCAAACTCGTGTGCTAAGGAAATATAAGCAGATTGAAAAACATCTTGTTAGAATTATGGGCAGAAAACATTTCTTAAAATAACATACTCAGACACATTTATCTTTATTGGCTCTAGTCTACTTCTAGACCATGAGGGGCAAAACCAAATGATCTCCTGAGGTCCTAACCATGGTGAAATTCCCAGACAATTAGAAATTCAATTATGTATTTGGAGATGTGGAAATATTTTATATACGCTTGGAGTTAGATTTTTGTTGGTGCATGTGCTTGTCAAAGCTCAAAGTGTAGTTCAAAGGCTGCTCTTTATTATATGTAAATTATCCATATTGTTCTTTAAAGTTTCAATAAGCTTCATCCTCTTATATTAAAAGAAACAAACAATTTTTGTTCATATATAAGTTCACTTGTTGATGCTATCTGAATGTGCTGAATTATTGAATTTGGCCTTTGATACAGTGTTTATGTTTTAAACATAATTCAAAATTCTATCCATGTCTATAGAAATGGGCCTGAAAGTGGCTGCTCATAGACATAACCCTGATTAACAATGAACTTAAATTGTGCAATTGGGTGGAAATGCAAATTTTGCTTAAATCTCCTGGTGCAGTTTGTAAGTATCCCCCTCCTAGCATAAGCTTAAAACATGCCAGGCATCATGCCAGGCCTCTTTCCATAGCTTAGTTCTAATACTAAAAAGATCCCACAAGGTAGATATTTTAATAGAAAGCAAGTGGAAGATCAGTGAGAAGGATTAAGCTTCTAGCTGCATCAAAGTTTAATCTCTGAAGTCAGAATCCTGACTCTTTCCTAGTCACTTACTCAATCACAAAGTTGTTTAACACATTAACACCTTAATAAGTCATCCTATGGGGAAACTTATTACATCAGGTAGAGAAAATCTCAGCATTGGCCTCAAAATTTCTATATGGAAGGCATTCAGGTTGGAAAAGGATATTGGGGGGCATATTTCAAAGCAAGCACACTTTCACTTACATAATATAATTGTTTGGAACAGCCTCCATGCCACCATAGCGACTCACAGCATGTTATTCCCTTAATGTTAACTGAAGTCTTCCTGGGAATGGTATGTTAGCTCACTCTCCTTGAATTAGTTCATTCGTTTTTGTTCAAATTTTTGGCCAGGAGAAAGTCTGTGATGTGTGAGTGTTGTGTGTATGTATGAGTAAAACATCACTTATCAGGCATCTCTAACAAGCTGGTCTACCTATATCCATATGAACTTTAATCTTTGGGCTAGCCTTACAGAGTAATCTCTAAATATAACTTGCTTCCAGGGGAACATAGCAGAGAATATGGCTAATAAAATAGGGAGGAATTTGCTTACAGTTTCATTGTATTGCCAACCACTATCTGAAGGCTGGGTCACGGTGCTATTCCCATCTGTTCAACAGGAAATTGGAAATTGGTTAGAATTATAAAAAATACTGAATTTTTACTATAAACATGAAATATATTTGCATTGCTTTCTGGTGATAAAAGAAACAATGAATAAAAAATATGGCCAAGAAATATATACATATGGCCAAATGGAACAGGCATTATAAGAATTAAACCAAGTTACTAGTATTTATTAATCTATCCTGTAAGGTGTGATTCTTAACAATTTTGTCATGGAACCTGTGAAAATGGATCCCTTTTTTCTTCTTTATGAGAAAAATATGTATTCCATAAAAAGTTTTACCTATAATTTTAGGAGCACAGAGGCCATTCATGGAACCAGGTTAAAAGTGCCACCGGTATGTACTCTGGACATCTACGTAATAGTCACAGTTGCTATTGTATCTATCACTTACCCCCCTATGCCTATGTCCCAAGCTCTTCATCTCATTTAATCCTCACAAGGATTCTGCATGATCAGTGATGTTCCATCCATTTAGAAATGAAGAAAACAGATTCAGAGAGGGTAAGACATTTGTTTCAGTCACATAGCAGATTAGAGGGGCCAGTGTGAGCACTCATGTCACAATATGTGCCCTTAACTACATGTCAATGATTTTCAAATTTTGAATGCTCTAGGTCTTCAGGAAAGAAAATGCAGTTACCTGTTGGGCAAGAAGAGTTCAATGATGAGGTGGTCGTACTTGCTTCCTGTGGTGTAATAGGCGGGGTTTCTGTTGTCTGCACTGGAGGAGATGAAGTGGTTTCTGAAATAAAAAGGATGCAAGAACCCTGTTCTATTTGTAGAGAAAAATCTCCAGCCCCAACAAAAATAGGCAACAAACCTAAAATTGGGAATTACCTTCAACTCTTTCTTAGAAATTTATTCAAAGATAACATTGAGGCATTGCACTGCCAACTAGGTCTTTTATTATCAGGAGTAAATCTTATATAGATAATGTTTTGGACAGTTATCTATAGACAGAATTATTTCACACTTTCCACACTTTTAAGATGTCCCTAAATGCGTAATGCCTACAAAAGTGCATCTTATGTAAGACACCCGATTAAGCTTTTATTCATACAAATGACATTTCATGTTCATAAAACAGGGCCTAGGAGTTTACACTAATCTGTTATCCCATCTTCACAATAACCCCAATCTGGATTTTCTGACATTATTCAATTTCACGATTATCCATCCACACATCTTTCCAGAGAGATGCACATATGTACCAGCACAGAATACACCCTCACAATATTTAATGCCTTGAAGTTTCTTCAAGGTGACTGCATTGCCCAATCTCTCAACTTGGTAATGATTCACAGCCCTCGGCCAGGTTCCTGGTAAACCGTGACCCCAGCTCCTTCTGCAGTTGCATTCTGCTCGCTCCTTCTGAATGACTGATTTCCTGTGTTATCTGACTCATCTTCCATTTCTCACCAAAAAGCGTCACTAAGAATTCTCAAGCACACCGCTATGCATCACTTGCCTCCTTATAAAATCTTCATGTTCCCTCTCCGGGGAGCACCACAGAACTTAGAGCAAATTAGTGGTGCTTGGCTGGGCAAGAATTCGCAAACCTGGGCTTTCCTTATTGCCTTTCATCAGTCTTCCTGATTCCCCTTTCCCACCACCATCTTCACATTTCAACATCATCCTTTCTTATGTTTTACTCCAATACTGAACCCTGTAACAGGATGTGGGGACATGGCTCTCTTTAGGAACAAAGAACAGGACAGTACAAGAGAGTCAGATGATCAGTCTATCCAACTTAGGTCTGTGCAAAAGGCTCCTGACCTTAACTTCTTCCCCAAGTTTGATTTCTTGTGGGCATCTTTCTTTGCTCCCCTCCTCCTTTAATCTTACATCCAACCATTTCATGCATATTTTAGGAAACAAACATGTGCTGGAGGCACTGAGGATAGATAGGAAGTGGATGTAAAAGTAAATGTTTCTGCATTGAATTAGCTCCAGTGCTCACCTCCTTCCTGTACTGTAAAGTACAACTCTAGACTCCAACTTCTTAGGAAACAATCAGGATAAACATAAGGCTCAATTCAATTAATAATCAATTAATACTAGTAGCCCTGCGCACAAATCTGTGCACCAGTAGCTCTTTGTGGGGCCTGGCCGCTCCATGCCCGCTGCTCAGAGGCTCTTCGTGGCCCAGAGGCCCATCCAGAGCCAGGCATGGAATGCTTGCCTCGTCGCCAGGGCAACGCAAGCGTTCTGCTCCTAGGCCTGGCCAGAGGCCCATCCATGGCTGGGAAATGCAAACGACTTCCCTCCCTGTTCTCAGGAACACTGATAAAGGACTTCCTTCCTCTTTCTTGGCTGGCTTTCACCCCTGTGCCTCCACCACCAGCACCTCCTGTCACACTATCCTCCACCCCCTCCACCCTCTGGCTGCCCGGACTTGACCTTGCCCGGGAGTCAGGGGCCACTCGACTCTGCTCAGCTCGCTGGTTCCTTCTCTTCTTATGCAAGTGTTCCATGACCCGGCCTGGCCAGAGGCCCATCAGAGGCCAGGTGCAGAACACTTGCCTCGTCGCAGCAGCAAGGAAGCAAGCATTCCACCAGGCTGCTCACGCTGCCCGCTCTCAGCGGCTGCCTCCTTGCCTGCCCCCCTCCACTGGGTGACTCCCCGTGGGGCTGAGAGGACTGGGCACCACCATCTTGTGGCTATGGGCACCACCAACTTTGTGACAGAGTGACAGTTAATTTGCATATTACCCTTTTATTAGAAAGGATTCCCTAGGAGGTCACACAGATCTTTTCTTCTGAATTTCTACTTTAAATGAAGTCAAAAACTTATGTATGTTCACTAAACCAAGTTGACTAATCCACACACTTTTACAGACACACACTATGTGAAACTAAGTATATAGAAGCTAAATCAATATTAAGAAAATCAACACGCCCAGCCTGTATGCTCAGTGGTTGAGTATTGCCCTATGAACCAGAAGGTCATGGTTCCATTCCCCATCAAGGTACCATACCCCAGTTGTGGGCTTGATCTCCAGTATGGGGCCTGCAAGAGGCAGCTGATTGATGATTCTCTCTCATCATTGATGTTTACCTATCTACCTGTCTATCTATCTATTTATCTCTATCTCTCTCTTCATCTCTGAAATCAATAAAAAAATATATATTTAAAAGAAGAGAGTCAGCCCTGACCAGTTTGGCTCAGTGGATAGAGCATCGCACTGCGAACTGAAGGGTCCCAGGTTCGATTCCAGTCAAGGGCATGTACCTTGGTTGCGGGCATATCCCCAGTGGGGGTGTGTGCAGGAGGCAGCTGATGTTCCTCTCTCATCGATGTTTCTAACTCTCTAGTCTATCCCTCTCCCTTCCTCGCTGTAAAAAATCAATAAAAATATATTTAAAAAAAAATAAAGAAGAGAGTCAACAGATTCTCTAGTATGTTCAGCTGCCTGGAAGAAAGCTATTTTTCTTACATACATTTAAGGCTCTAAAATCCGAGTTTTAACCTAATGCCCTCTCCTCCATACTCAGCTTATAGCACAAATGCTTCAGATCCCTTATGGCTAAATATACACAAGACTCAATAGGAGTTAAGGAAA